GGGTGGAGAGGGAGGTGGGAGGGGGGACCGGGATGGGGAATACATGTAAATCCATGGCTAATTCATTTCAATGTATGACAAAAACTACTGTAATGATGTAAAGTAATTAGCCTCCAACTAATAAAAATAAATGGAAAAAAAAAAAGAAAACAAAGACATTGGTAACAGAGTGAGAAATTGGGGTGAGAACTTCTGGGAATCTCTGACGTGAGGTGGGGATTTCTAGGATGGGGGCTCTATGGTGGGGGTACCCGAGAAGGGGGCTCCCCTGGTGGCTCAGACAGTAAAGAATTCGCCTACCAATGCAGGAGACTCGGGTTAAATCCCTGGGTGGGGAAAATCCCCTCGAGAAGGACATGGCAACCCACGCCAGTATTTCACCTGGGAAACCCCATGGACAGAGGAACCTGGCAGATGCAAGTCCACAGGGTCGCGAAGAGTCAGACATGACTCAGTGACTAAGCAGCTACAGCAAGTCGAGGGGGAGGGCACACGGTGGAGAGCTAGCCTTGGTCGTGTGGATGAACATATCCTCCACAGGGCGGAGACAGCGTGGACACAACATGAAGAGGGAGCAGGGCCGGAAAAGCTCACGGTGGCTTCATCACCTGCAGCGAAGGACAAGGAGGATGACCTGCGGGCAGAGAAGAGCCTGGAATGGGGAGGGCTCGTCTGGGCTGTGAGGGTGTGAGAAGGAACGTGCTCTGCAAACCAGCAGACAAGAGAACAAGATGCCATCGGCAGTCTCGGAAGGGATTCTGATTGCAGATAAAACACTCCTGGCTGCATCTCATGACAGGTTCATAACCTTAAATATGCAGGAAGGAGTTTAATCTATTGCACCTTTCCTGCAAAACAGCTTAATCCTTTCCAGTAGTTTATTAACAATAATACACGGAAGGAGAAATTGCATGGTCTGGTCACAGCAATAATGTTGCATTTCTTGGTCTGCTTTCCATTCCAGTCACACATCTGAGTTGTTCTCCTGGGCCTGGGGCTCTGAGTGGGTTTCAATCTGCTGCCTCCAGACACAGCAAAGCGACCACATACTCAGTCCAGTTAACAGTGCCTGCACCCTCCTTTCGAACTCAGGGCTGCCCCTCTTACAGCACTGGTGATGAGGTGTCATGAACCCTGAGAGTCACACCTGGGGTGCTCGGGGTGGAGGACGTTGAGACCCCTCCTCCCCACTCCTTGTGCCACCAGGGCCAGGCCAGGAGGAGCTGGAGTGGCCCACAGCCCAGTCTGGAGCAACCGCTTCCTCCGCCCGACCTCACAGTCGCTGGGGTGTTGCTTGGTTGAGAGCCAGCCCAGGGGCCTTTTGTTGAAGGCGAGGCTGGGGAAGGATCTAGCACCAGGGTGCCAGGGAGAGGGGGCGAGAGTTCCTCTGTTTCCTGCCTGTGGGGCAGGTCATTTTGCCTCCTATGGCTGCAAAGGGGGAAACTGGGCCTCCTGCTATTACCCAGGGGCATCCCACTGACCCCTTGCTTGCCCTGGCTGCCCCCTTTCTAAGGCAACCTCTGGTGTGTCTGACTCTTTACAACCCCATGGACTGTAGCCCACCAGGCTTCTCTGTTCAGGGGGATTCTCCAGGCCAGAATACTGGAGTGGGTTGCCATGCCCTTCTCCAGGGCATTTTCCCAACCCAGGGATCGAACCCAGGTCTCCTGCACTGCAGGCAGATTCTCTACCCTCTGAGCCACCAGGGAAGCTGCATTCCATCAAACCATCCTGGAAGAGGGCTGCAGGAAAGTGAAAGTGTTAGCCTTTCAGTTGTGTCCAACAGCGACTCCATGGACTGTAGAAGACCCAGCAGGCTCCTCTGTCCATGGGATTTCCCAGGCAAGAATACTGGAGTGGATGGCATTTATTTCTCTAGGGATTTTCCCGACCCAGGGATCAAGTCTTGGGTCTCTGGCATTGCAGGTGGATTCTTTACCTTCTGAGGCACTAGTCTGCAGGAAGGCTGCTTTTCTGGGCTTTCAGGTCAAGCTGTCCTTGAGGTACCCCAGTGCAGCTACCTTACGTCTCTTCCCTTTCCCCAGTAACTGGAAGGCCCTGGGACGCCTTCTCAGCTGGTCCTTCGCACATGAACTGAGTAGCCTTTCTGGGCCTCTGCTCCCACACTTCTGCTCAGCAATGCACCCACTTCTGTTTTCCAGAAGCCACATGCAGCTCCAGCGGCTGAGCTGAACTAGCTGGTCTAATCTGGATGTAAAGCTAGAGGAAGCTGGGCTCACAGAGCACTGAAGACACCCGCTTCCCTGGGAGCTCCTGGCAGGAATGACCTGCTTAGAGTCGGCACATGTGATCTTATGGAGTTGGCAGAAATCAGGCGTAGAGGAAACCCACTGTACTGAGTGTCATTCCATTTTTGGACTCCTTCCAGAGCCCCTAGGATCTATGCTCTTGACATCTGCTGGTTAGTGAAATTTTGAAAATTTATGTATTCATTTATATACATATTTACTTATTATTGATTCATACTCATTGACTTTTGACTAGGTGTTGACAATGTCATTGGAAAGGTCATGAAGCTTTGAATTCAAACAATTAAAAGATACATTTTTTAAAAGTTCCAATATCTCTTTTGGACTCATTGCGACCCCATGGACTGTAGCGCACCAGACTCCTCTGTCCATGGAATTCTCCAGGCCAGAATACTGGAGCAGGTAGCCACTCCCTTCTCCTGGGGATCTTCCTGACCCAGGGATCGAACCCAGGTGTCCTGCTTTGCAGGCAGATTCTTTACCATCTCAGTCACCAGGGAAGTCCCTAAACAATTAAAAAACACACTTTTTAGACGTTCCAATATCTCTTGCAGTACAGTTTTAGCAAAATAATACTTGAATTGGTTGTCACACGTCCCGACTAGAGGGGGCAGCCGGCAGACCAGCCTGATGGGACGGGTCGGGATGAGAGGGACAGGCCCACTCTCCCTGGCCACAGGCTCAATGGTGCCTGTGGCTTGAGCTGTCCTTCCAGGTGGGCATTTACTGGAAGGGTCTGCAGCAGGTGGGAGCAGCTCAGAGGAAGTTTTGCCCTCAACTGCAGTCATGCAGGTAAGGAGAGATTTTCTGAGAGTCTTTGGGTTGCAAGTATTGGCAGAAAGGAGTGATTATGTTAGCAAAGTCAGAGGTCTGCTTCAGGCCTCTTAGTGGGTTCAACAATGAAGTGTTTTCTCCCTCAGGAATAATACTGAAAACAAATGTAAACTCGGGTCCAAGCTTTCCTCAATATTTTTCTTTAATGCGATGGCAGGTGCTATGTTCAGATTATAATTTAGACATAGGTTAGGCTACAGTTAATTGTTTGTTTTCAATAGCACAATTAATTTGAGACCAGGAGATATAAATCTACTTTCTTTTCTTCAAGCAACAAATCAGCAAATATTTACTGGTCTGGTTTTGAGAACACAGTTATGAAAGGCTGTTCATAGCTAATGCATTCATGTGAGCAAATTAAAAATAGACTATTCGTAGATTTCCACAGTACAGTATAATTTCCCCCTAAAGGGGGTCCCTTTAAAATTATTTTTATTTTATTTAATCTTTTTTCTTCTAGTTTTATTGAAATATAATTGACACACAGCTTTGCAGAAGTTTAAGGTGCATAGTACAATGCCCTGACTTGAACACATCATGAAATAATTAACACGGTAAGTTCAGTGAACACCCATCATCTCATATAGATAAAGCATTAAAGAAATGGATATATATATGGATATATATATATCCATATATATATATAGTTTTAAAAACTCTTAAGATTTACTCTGTTAGCAACTTTCATATATAATGCACAGCAGAGCTCATATACTTATTGCATGGTACATCATAGCCATAGCACTTATAGCTGGAAGTTTGTGCCTTTTGACCATCCTCATTCAATTCCTCCACCTTCCACTCCCCGCCTCTGGTAAACTCACATCTGGTCTCTTTTTCTATGAGTTTATTTGTTTGTTTTGAGGCATAATTGACCTAAAGCCCTTGGTTAATGCCTGTTATACAACACAGCGATTTGGTATTTCTATAACATTTTGAAATCATCACCAAGGTAAGTCTAGTTACGATGTCACCATACAAAGACATTGTACAGTTATTGGCTATATTTCCTGCACTGTACCCTTTATACCTGGTACTCACTTATTTTGTACCTTTCAATCTCCCTCACCTATTTCTTCCCTCTCCCTCCTGCTCTGCCCTCTGGCAACAACCTGTTTGTTTTCTGTATCTGTAACTCTATTTCTCTTTTGCTATATTTGTACATTTGTTTTGTATTGTAGATTCCACATGTAAGTGAAATCATATAGTGTTTTTCTTTTTCTGACTTACTTTGCTAAGTATGATCATCTCTAGGTCCATCCATGTTGCTGCAAATGGCATCATTTCATTCTTTTTTATGGCTGAGTAATATTCCACTGTATATATAAACACATCTTCTTTATCCATTCATCTGTTGATGGGTGCTTAGGTTGCTTCTATATCTTGGCTATTGTAAACAGTGCTGCTATGAATATGAGGTGCATATATCTTCTCCAGTTAGTGTTTTTGTTTTCTTTAGGGTCGAATTGCAGAATCATGTGGTAGTTCTAGTCTTAATTTTTTTTGAGGAATAGCTGTACTGGTTTCCATAGTGGGTGCACAACTTACATTCCCTTCAGCAATTCCTAAGGGGGTCCTTTAAGGGGGAAGATTCCTGTCAACAGTTGTCAACAATCTCCTTCTCCCTCCCTGCTCTTTGCTCCTCTCTGCTCTGTTTCTCTCCTTTCTAGTCTCTTTTCTTCCCTCTTCTCTTCTCTTAGCCCAAGTAATCTCTTGGGCTGCTTCCTGAGCATACAATTTCAGAGAGTAGGTAGTCATAGAATCTAAGAAGTTAATTTTGACATTTGGTCATATTGAACTAGTAGTCAGAAAGATTTTCAGTCTTTAAACATTGGAAACTCCACGGTGGTGGCATCATAAAATGCAGGTTCTGCTGTGGCAGGGAGCTCAGGGCATTAGCACTCCCTACTGCCCTTCCAGGCTTGTGGTCAAATAAGTAATAACAGTGGCAGTCACAACTACCGAGTATTTGATGAAGTGAATCTACACGTCCTAGTCTCATTTGAAACAGAGCAACTTTGTGTTTGGTACTAGTATTTTCTTAGTTTTACAGCAGTATTAAATGATTGCTTAATATCACATCTCTACTAACACTAACGATGGGGTTGGAACCCTGGTCTCCTGACTATAATTCTGTCTTTTTTTTTAAATATAGCATGTGCTCAATACTATTAGAATAACACTGAATAAAAGTGTCCAGAGTTGCACATGTGACAATTTTAAGAACAGATGTCTTAGGGAAGAGTTCTCCAGGGATTCATGCCCAATATACCCCGTAAATGCCCCAAAGGTAGGAGTGGGGCTTGGAGAGGTTAATAACCACTAGACTGTATGGAAGGAATTGCCAGGGGAATATGTCTCAGTTTTCACTTGGTTGTTAATAATCCTGAACAGATGGAAGTAAAGCTTCTGATTCCATCAGGTAGTAAGATTCCATTGGTAGTAAGAAACACTTCTATTTACTGTGCCAGCAGACTTACTGTGTCAGAAACCAATAGCTTCTAAGAGGTGGCAGAAAACATTATGTCCTGGTAAACCTGATGGAAGGAGGGTTGATTCTCAGAAAGGTGACCACTGTCATCAAGGACAAGGGTATCCTTGCTCTTTCCACAAATCAGTACCATTTCCTATTCTTAGATTTTGTAGGGGGATGAACTCATGGCAGACATATGGGCTGCATAACCTGTTGAGTGTGCATGACATACAGAGCCTTCTATATTGTTGCTTGGAAAAAGTGCCAGGTTTTTAGAGCAAATTCTAGGACTAACTGGCCAACACCACATCCTCTACATGACTGAAGGAATCATGTCAAGCACAGGTCTCAGGTGGAGGCTATACTCAGAGTAGGTTTATACCTTAAGAGTAGGTTTATACCATCTGCTGCTGTTGCGTCTTTAAAGAAAACGAACACCACCATCTTCAACTCAGTAAGAGTGGTAAATAAAAAAAGGACAAGTTGGCCTTCAAGGATAGGGTCATTACCAGGAAAAACTACTTTAGGAGGATGGGATCTTAAGTTATTTCAGAATAAATCTAAAGCAAATCAAAAGGAGGGAAGATAATGACAGGAAAGAAGGAGCTCATAATAAAAAATAACTCTAGGAAAACCTGTTCTTTGATTATTTCAGAATAAACCTGAAGTAACTGAAAAGGAGGATAGTACTAACAGGAAGTGATGTTAAACAAAGCTCCACCAAGGAATCAGAAGACCGTCTCCTCCTATAGCTGCCTGGCCTCAGCAACATCCGTCAACAATGCCTCTTCAGTTGCCCCTTCTGAGTCCAGAACATTGTTCATTGAAACCCTGATTCCCAAAGCCCTTCTGCCCTGAAGCTGTAGGTCTGTCCTGAAGCTGTAGGTCTGTCAGGAGGGGCATTGGTCTTTGCTCCTTTGCTGTGGAGGTTCCCCATATCCATTCATGCAGCCCCCATCTGTGGTTGGGCACCTGCCAGGGGCTTAACACCAGCCCTTGCTACAGACTAGGGGCTGAGTATTGTCACCTATTATTACGGGAATGGTTTCCAGGGACCAAAGTTCTCTGACTTGTTATTGCTTTGAGCAGTGCTGATTGCACTACACATTCCTCCTAAAGTTGCTTTGGGGACAGCATCTTCTTCATGGAAGAGTTTCACATATAGTATTAAGAATTCACTGGATATTGTATCTATAGACTATAAATTGCATTTTAAACTAAATGTCGCTACGTCAGACTTTAAAACAAAAAATAAATGGGGATTTCCTTTTTTTCAGCAAAGCCCAGCACTAAGAGATGCACCAAATCAGGATTCTTTCATTTCCTTCATTTCCCTATATTCTGGATGTTTCCTTAGTTAGCAAGGTGTGCCTTACATGCAACAAGGATAGTTTTAACTAAAAAGATTTCATTGAGGTCTTCATTAACATATAATAAAATGTAGAGCATTCCATGGGCTTCCCTGGTAGCTCAGCTGGTAAAGGATCTGCCTGCAATACAGGAGACCCTGGTTTGATCCCTGGGTCAGGAAGATCCCCTGGAGAAGGGACAGGCTCCCCACTCCAGTATTCTTGGGCTTCCCTGGTGGCTCAGCTGGTAAAGAATCCGCCTGCAATGCGGGAGACCTGGGTTCAATCCCTGGGTTGTGAAGATCCTCTGGAGGAGGGCATGGTAACCCATTATAGTATTCTTGCTTGGAGGATCCCCATGGACAGAGGAGCCCAGTGGGTTACAGTCCATGGGGTTGCAAAGAGTTGGACTAAGTTGTGCGAATAAGCACAGTGGAATATTCTATATTTGTTTTACTTCACATCGGTGACCTAGTATATCTTCTTCTTATAAGGACAGAACCAGTAAGTTTTCTTGTTTGCTTTTTATAGCTTCAGACAATTTCATTAATGAGTTAGTTAATATCAACAATATCACTGTGGACCAATAAGGCCTTTTTTATTACTAGAAGCTCAATATTTTAGAAAATGTTTGCTTCTGTATTCAAGACTTGATTTTTTGTTGTTGTTGTTAAAAAAACAAAATATAATTAGGCCATTCAAAGATTCTGTTAAGTACAGGTTAGTGAAGTGAAGTCGCTCAGTTGCGTCTGACTCTTTGTGACCCTGTGGACCGTACAGTCAGTGGAATTCTCCAGGGCAGAATACTGGAGTGGGTAGCCTTTCCCTTCTCCAGGGGAATCTTCCCAACCCAGGGATCGAACCAGGGTCTCCTGCATTGCAGGCAGATTCTTTACCAACTGAGCTATCAGGGAAGCGCTAAGTACATGTTAAGCTTCAGTTGAATAGCATTCCTGCAATGAAATCAATGAATAGATACTGCTTTTCCCTGAAAGGCACAGAGATGACCTTTGAAAACCTGCTACGTGGGTTATTCTGGCGAAGAAACAAGCTGGTGAGTAAGTACATTGAGAGTTTCCCACACACGCTCAACACACAATGCAGTAAGAAGGAGATTAGTAGGAAGGAGAGTGGTAGGAAGGAGAAAGGAAGGTGGAGGGAAGGAAGGCTAGAGAGGTGCCAGGTGGATGCCAGAAGGGTGCCCAAGGGTCTCAGTCATTCAGCCACATTAGGATCTTCACAGCGATGCGAAAGCTACAATTCAAATTGCTGTCTTCTCCCTGCTGGCTAGAAAAACCTCCTTTTTGCTCGGTTTACTCAGTTTATTCCTACTATGAGTCATACATTCTCGTTTGTTCTCAACACATAAAAAGTATTTTAGGCATGTCAGATGACAGCTCTCTTTTGGGTTTTCCACTTTCCTTCTTTCAAAGTGGTCATTATTGCTTGTGGGGGAGGGCAAGGAGTTGGAAACCAAATTATGAAACCAACAGGATGCTTTGTTATCAGTGGCACAATCTTGTAGACCTTTAGCTCTGACAATCTAAGGAAAAAGAATCTTCATCTTCAAACGATTATACTTCTGATTCTTATTCATTGTATTGCTGCTATGCTAAACCAGGTTCTATTTCAAGCCCTGATGAGTTATCCTCATCTTTGATGACAGCTCTAATTCTCACTGATGCTGCTGCTAAGTCACTTCAGTCGTGTCCGACTCTGTGCGACCCCACAGAGGGCAGCCCACAAGGCTCCGCCGTCCCTGGGATTCTCCAGGCAGGAACACTCACTGATGAGCTTCTGACAAATAGTGGAACAGTGCAGCAGTGAGCTCCACAAGGCAAACTGGCAAATAAACTTACTAATGCTTCAATCATGGTTTAAGAAGATGATGCATTTTTATTCTGGCAACAATCTAACGCTCAAGAAATATTACCAATGATTTGTAAGAGAACAAATTCGCTGGACCAAAGAGACTCTTCAGACACCTCTAACTGCTGTTGTGTTTTCACCCTTTTGGAACATATTAAGGAATAAAATAAAAAGAAATGTAGTTTACACATTGTATAAAGCATTCCTTTATCCTAAAACATTCTTGTTAGGTACACAATTCAATGACTGTTCAATAAATTCTTTACAATAGAAAGACAATTTTTGCTTCAGTGGAAAACTATGTGTTGTTTAGAGTATGTTCCTCTAGGTTATCGATTTCTGATTTTATGGGGGCAGGCTCTGCACCTTTCATGGCCTTTGAGCTATTTTATGATTGTGTAAGTTGCATCAGGAATGCAAAATAATTCTTGTATATTGATGTGTAAGTAAATCCTGTCTGGTGGGGGTTCCTCTGACTTCCTGCTTTCACTGTGGAAGAAGCCAGGTTTGCCTCTGCACATTCAACACTCCTAATCTTTATACACGTCTGTTCTTAGGATAGTCCTCTGAACTGGCTGTAACATCTTCCTAGTTCCTTCACTGATAATAACTTAAAATATTTACACGTGCTTTATTTTCTATGTGTACGAGAGTCACGTTTTAACTTTTACTTGTTTGGAAAACTATCCTTTAACAACAATATAAAGGAAAAAGAGTAGAAAAAATTGAAACACAGTGTCTGTAATCTTTGATCTCACAGATGGTTACCAGTCTTTTCTCTTTCCCTTTTTGTACCACAATTTTACTCATAGCTTTTGTTCAGCTACTATTTCTTTTTTTTTTAAAGCCTCAGATAAACTTTCTGATGAGTGACAAAGAACACAACAATTTGTACTTCAAAGCTGTGCTCCACAAAGTTAAAACAAATAAGTGAGCCTGGGAACATTTTAATCAAGGTTAAAACATTATCCGTTTTTATTTGCAACAGACTGGCACACAAAAAGCAGTAGGTTGATTTGTAAGAGAACTTTGTTAGACCTAAACAGATGAGGCAACTCTCCAGATAATTATATGTGCTGTGTATTTGCACAAAACTTTCCTTTTGGAAGTTCATTCATAGTTTTCCTGAGACCACTCATGGGAATCACTGCACTGTATTCAAAGGAAACATCTCGCAACATCCCATAAATAAAACCAGATTTTTGCACTCACCGTGCCCCACCAGAGAGCATCCGCGTATGTAGAAAACTCCTTATTAGCATCCTTTTCCACCAGATAGACAAGGAAAGATGAAAAAATCAGAACCAAAAATCCTATGTACCAAGCTGTGATTAATTCCTAGATATAAAAAGAATGAGAGATTTTTTAGAGGTGAAAAATACTTGAAACGGGAACAAAATCAAAATCTGAGCATGATTTCATGTGTTTGACTACTGCTTGGATATTTATGGTGACTTTTACATAATCCACACTGTGTCCTCGCATGGCTGTAGCCAGTTTCTGCAAAGCCCAAGTCTGCTTTCGAAGAGGTTGGCGCCGCGGGGCGCGGAGGCGCGACCTCACCTTGCTGTGCGCGTAGACCACGGAGCCCAGCAGCTTCCAGGTTCCGCCGCGCCGGTCCATGCGCACCATGCGGAGGATCTGCAGGAAGCGCAGGCTGCGCAGTGCCGACGTGGCGAAGATGTTACCCTGAGTTTTGGCAGACACGACCGCTATGGAGGCGATGAGGACAATGGTATCTGAAAGAAACAGGTTGAAGCAGCCGTAAGTCGCAGGGCCAGGAGGTTTTCGTTTCCCAAAGAGGCTTTCAGAACGCGTCACGTTGGACCTATTTGGGGCCCCGGGAGCAGAACTTGAGCTCCAGGCCGGCGCCCACCACGTGGACTCTGTGATGGCCGAGGAGCGGAAGGTGGAGGATTGGGCCTTCTGCTGCCTCGTTCTTACCCCTCGGCCATCTCTGCTTTAGCCATCCAGTTTGGACCACTTCCTGTTTAACCTTCGAAGAACTGGACGTGGCCTTCGGAAGGTCTGGTGCTCTGGGGGGCTTAGGGCTGGGGACACCCCCCACTGCAGCCCTGGTGTCACGGTTGGAGGTGGAGGGTGGTCCAGTCTGCAGGAGCCCCAGCTCCGAAGCTTCCCCGATGATGCCGTGGAGGCATCATAGCCTGTCCAGCTATGAAAGTGCTGCTTCGCACAATCGTGTTTCCTGTTTTCTGGCCCCCAAAGCTTGTCACTCCTTCCTACAAAAATTTCACTTCTGTTGTGTCTGCAGCTTTGCAGACTGAAAGAAAGGCCTCAACTAAACTAAATGCTTCAAGCACCCTGGGTAGAGTCCTTTATAAACTGCTGTCGGTCCGGTTTTGTGTAAGTTCGGCACACAAGTTAATTGACATTCCGTTTGTTATAATAGAGGAGATAATTGTACACACTGTGCATGGGAATGGATATTTAATGTCTGACATATTGACATTTGGCTTAAATCATACCTGCTAAAAAGGGCAGCTAAGGAAAGCACAGAAAAGATAAAGGAGGGCTTAATCGCTCCAAGGGTAAATATCCGAGTGATAGAAAGTAGCTTTGAAGTGGGAGGAGTGAAGTGGGATGAATAGCCTCCCATGGCGATTTTACAGGAAGTCCGCTTGAGCTGCTCATCCTCAATAAAACGTCCTTCCTGCTCCAGGTGGGCGTGCAAGGCCAGGCAGCAACACTCAGACCCCTGGGGTGCAGCATTTACTATGTTTCTGAGGCCCTCAGGGTTAATGGCTGAGTGAATGTGGATTTTTCGTTCAGCCCAGTCCTTCATGCTCACAGGAAGGTCTGTCCCCCGCGTGTGGACTGTGAGGATCTTTAGAGTCACTCTTCTGGTGCCCTTTTGGGTCAGGGTTGGAGAGAGGGTTGGGGGTTGGCACATGGGTCAGCGGGAGGCATTTCTACCATTAGGTCTGTAGGCTGAGTGAGCTTGTGGTTGGGCGCGCAGCCAGCCACAAACTTGTCCTTTTCTTTCTCTCTGTAGCTGTTGGAGATGAGAGGAAACTAAATATGTTAATACAAACACCAAGCACATTAAGTGACTAGAAGTCAGTTGCAAAGCAGAATGTACAGTGTAGTCTTACTTAATAAAAAATACATTATACAACTAGGAAAAATGTGAGGATATACATAGAATATTAAGTCTCTGTATGGGTAGAGAGGTGGGATGAGAATGTGGATAAAGGACTTCTCACTTTCGAAGTTATTGATTTCAGTAATCTTGGAGTTTTATAACAATGAAAACATATTTTGAAATCAGGAAAAAAAAGAAGAGTTAAGTGTGAAAACATCTCTTGGTTTTCATCATTCGGAGGGATTTACTTCTGAGACAAGTGGTTTACAGACAAAGAAACATTCCTTATAAGGCCCTGCTGGATATATATTTTGCTTCTATTTCTCACTGTAGTACTGCTTCCTCACAAGTGTACAAAGAAAAAGACACAATACCCTACTCACTATGCTAAAATATTAGAAATAGTTGAAATAAATAAATGACTAGTGCGGGTGCAGAAAACAGACTTGAAATTTACTTTGTGCAGTAAATTTACTTTCTTTAGTTTTAGGTGTTTTACAAATGTCATATTATTTTAATCCTTGTAACACCAATATCTGTTAGATATTCTAGATAAAAAAAGTGAAACACAGAAAACACATATTGTATCAGTTTTAAAAAAATTAGCTATAGAGCAGTTACACTACAGCACAAAAGTATGCTTTTAGTTCATTAGACAAAACCTAGAGAAAGTAAGAGAAACCCTGTAGGTCTGAGACAGTTTCAAAAACTATGCACACAGTGAATCCTAATCTAAAGATTTTAAGTCACAAAATATGCAAAAGTAACCAAAGATTTAACACCCTTATTGTAATTCAGATCAGAAAGTCAGAATTCAGTGAAATGAAGTCAGAAGTGAGCAACCAAATGTCACCGATGAGTCAGCCACAAAAATGCTTCTGCTTGGGTTACAGTCATCCGCTGGAGTTTTGCTGTAAGTACATCTAGATATTTCCCAGGTTAATATTTTAGAAGTTATGAGTGCTCTTATCTTATTTTTATGTATGTATGTATTATTTTTGTAGTCCATTACTTAGGAGACTAGAGCTTCCACATGGTTGGATACTTGTATCCCAAGTACCTAGAACAGAGCGGGCACTCCAGTAAATGTTTATAGAATAAACTTAAGTTAATAAACATTTAAAAGTAGCTTGAGTTTTCTTCTCTTACCACATCAGTGGCTTAATAACTGGAACATCAATCAAAAATACTCAAGTTAATCAAACCAGCACGGAATTCTACAGCAATGTAATAATTCATAGCCATCATTCATTGACATTTATAAAAAGCAAAACTCACTAAGGTTTACCTTTTATAAACGTGGGTAGGTGTGGCCTTTAAATATGGCCTCATAGGAGGCTCCTAACTGCCCTCCTCCCACAGATGCACCACATGAGCAGCTACACATGCAGAAATTCCCTCTGGAGGAAATCCAAAAAGAGAGAACGCTCACATCAAAACAGCAGGAGAGGCTGAGACGCAGTCACCATAAACCCCACTCCTAGCACAGTGCCAGACACCCAGGAAGGACCTCAAACTCCTAGCTTCTCCCTGAGAGACTGAGAGTTTGAACCCCACATTTAGCACCCCAATTTTTAATTCCCAGAGGGATAGGCCCCTCAAACACCGAGTCCTGAAAGCCGTGAGGCTTGCGTCTATGAGACCCACATACTATAGCCGACAGGGAAGCAGGTGTTAGTGGGTGTGAACCCTGGGCTGTAGAAATGCCCATCTCCCTATCTTTTCCTGAAAGGATTCTACTTGCCAACTTCACAAGCTGCTGCCTGAAGGTCAGGCCTCTAACTTAGATGCATCTGGAGAGTGACTGCAGTTCTCTCCTGAGGCCACAGGAGCCAGTGGACATGTCTCCTGCCCTCTCCCTCTGGCCTGCTCCAATTTGCCAGTATCCTTCTCAAGTTTTTGTACGTGTCTGGTGGCCCAGCTTTTGAGGCTGCTGCTTGGGAGAAAACCCCTGGATCACCTGGCTCTGACAGCCAACGGGGCTTGCATTCAGGAGTCCTACAGGACTATAGCAAAGAAAGTTCTTAATGGGTTAAGGACCCCGCAGCCCCCTGCCCCCACTTCATGTCTATGTATTAATAACTGGGTCCAGTACAGAGGGAGCAGGTGAAATGCCTACCTCCCGGTTTCTCCCTGGATAGGGTCTAATGACATATTTTCCCAGCTGCTGCCTGAGAGTCCAACTTCCAAATGGCCTTCATCCAGAAGATGACTGTGACCCTCCGCTTGGGACACTGAGTCTTGGCACATATTTGACCACTGGGAGCCACTAAGAACAGGGTGGTTAGACAATTACAAACATTTCAGAGACAACGAGAAGCAAAGGCTATGCTAATTGATGAGTTCATCTCCTATACAAGATCTGTCTTTCAAGACTAGCGTAGATGGCTAGTTTTATCTAATGCACAGAAATTTACACAGGGAGTCAAGGAAAATGAAGAAACAATATGTTCCAAACAAAAGAACAAGACAAATTCCCAGAAACAGATCTTAGTGAAACAGACAACCTAGAAGAAACAGTTAACTTACTAGAAACGCACAATCTAACAAGGCTAAATCAGGAAGAAATAGAAAATTTGAACAGGCCAATCACTAATAAAGAGATGGAATCAGTAATCAAAAACCTCTCAATGAACAAAAAAGTCCAGGACTAGATGGCTTCAGTGGTGAACTACATCAACATCTGAAGAATAAATACCAATCCTTCTCAAACTCTTCCATAAAAAAACAAAAATAGAGGAAGCACTTCCAAATTCATTTTTACAAGGTCAATATTACCCTAATAGGCTTCCCTGGTAGCTCAGTTGATAAAGAATATGCCTACAATGCAGGACACCTGGGTTCAATTCCTGGGTTGAAGATCCCCTCTGGAGAAGGAAATGGCAACCCACTCCAGTATGCTTGCCTGAAGAATCCCATGGGCAGAGGAGCCTGGCAGGCTACAGTCCATGGGGTCGCAGAGTCAGACATGACTGAAGTGACTTAGCAGTAGCACTAACCTAATATCAAAACCAGACAAGGACACCCCAAGAAGATAACAGTACATATCCCTGATGAACATAGATGTAAAAGTCCTTAACAAAATCTTAGGAAACTGAACTCAACAATACATTAAAAGGATCATATACCACGATCAAGTAGGGGTTTATTCCAGGGATGCAACGATGGCTAAATATCTGCAAATCAGTGTGATACCCCACATTAACAAAAGAAAATTAAAGTGATATAATCAACTCAATAGATGCAGAAAAAGCATTTGACAAAATTCACATACTTTCATGATAAAAGCTCTCAATGAAATGGATATAGAGGGAATGTACCTCAACATAATAAACACCACAAAGCAAGCCCATAGTGAACATCATATTCAGTGCTAAAAAACTGACAACTTCCCCTGTAAGAACAGGAACAAGTTAAGGATGCTCACTCTTGCCACTTTTATTCAATATAGTATTGAAAGTCCTACTTAGAGCAAGTAGGCAAGAGAAGAAGTAAAAATCACTCAGATCAGAAAGGAGGAAGAAAAACTGTCACTCCTTGCAAATGACAAAGCATTATATATAGAAAATCCTAAACATTTTACCAAAACAAATGTTGGAAATAATGAATTGAGTAAAGTTGTATGACACAAAATAAATAATTCAAGAATCAGTTGTGCTTTACACCCCAACAACCATTTATCAGGAAGAGAAATTGAGAAAAAAGTCCCATTCATAGTAGCGTCAAAAAGAATAAAATATTTAGGAAGGAATTAAACCAAGGAGGTGGAAAATCTGTTCATTGAAAACTATAAAACATCGATCAAGGAAACTGAAGAAGACACTAATATGGAAAGATACTCATGTTGACGGA